TTGTCATGATGTAAATTTCTCAGTAACGTGACAGTTGCCGGGATGGTTTCCCTATCAGATGAGACCACTAAGCCAAACAAACAAATAGAACCAGCTTGAGCATCTTCAAAGATGCTTATGCCATAGGCAAGCATAAAATTATACTGACATCCATCCAGTTCGAGCAAGTACATTTTTGAACCATAAAACCATAAGACTAACAATGTTTGACTAGGGATACTGGAGCGGGCTCGACCAATGTGCTCTGCTACACGAAGCCCATTTCCCCACCTGTGGTGACACCAGGTGGTGACAGTTTGTTGGCAGTCGAGGCATCTCAACACATCGGCAGATATGTTAATATCACGGAAGTAAGTCACGTCACGGAAATGGAAATCCTTCTTCATATGCTTTAGTACTTTACATACGCCCTTTCGATGCAAATTCTGGAACTGCTATTGAATATTTCACCTGTTCAGGCTGGTGGTCGGCCTCTGCTGGAACGAGATGGCACCAGTTCCCCTCGCCCACTTAACTATGCAGAAGTTGGTGTAGGCTCTGAGCCGGAAAGAGTTCCTAGCAGGTAATTAGAGCACCTGCTCAATGTTTTAGACAAGCAGTTGAAAGCAAAAAAGTTGAATGAAAGAAAAAGTGAAGTAATTAGTGATTATGTTTAGGTGTTCTTCTGTTGGTCAACGTACTGATATTGAAAATGGTGCAGTGAACTATACATTGATTGATGCCGAACGAACACAAGCCCTTCAAGCAGCGAATGGAGAGCGTAGACGTAATCCTACCGGACATTGAATAAGATACTCGCGAAGTTGGTGGACGTCATCAACTTATTACATTAATGTGCTTATCCCACTAGCAAAAGCAAAGACTTCGACGGATTTGATTCTCAATCCTTTGTAGCTCTGCATGGATTTATTCTCATCATTATCCAAAGGCAGTCATTGAGAATCAAGCGATCTTGTAAGACATCTTTCGTCTTGGCTGGTGTCAGTGTCCGCGATCCTTCGCACCATTCGCACGATTTAGCGCGAATCGCAAAAATCACAAGTGCCTCATTTGAGCATTTGAAATTGAATACGAAACAAAGGGAATCCGAAAGTCGTCATTCAACTCACCATCAAGCAGAAATTGCGCCGGGTTTGAAAAGCACCTTCGCAGTCGCGCGACGGTTCGCGGACTCGAACACCAGCCTTAATGTTTTTAAGGCTGTAGATGACAAGGTAGTGGTGTAGGTTTATTCACGATCGCTAGGAATGGTGGGAAGCTGTAAAAGTTGTTGGAGTTGTATCTGTGGAAACAGAAAAAGAGTGAAATTCTTGTTGGGGTCTAATTAATTTCTGCTTCGTGAAGTTATACGAATAAGATAAGGGTTTCGGTAAACATTTCATTTGAAGAAGCTTTTTGATAAGGACCGGCTGAATAAACTGGAATGGCGCGGAGAGGCGATCTTGAGCTAAGATTGGAATTTGTCTGATCGCCCACGGGAGAGTAAGAGGGCAGGTGGGGAGGCTGATGGACCGCTGAAAATATGCAAAAACAAAATCGACTGAGATGTGATTATGTAGAGCATTTCACCATAGTTCTCTACTCAAATTTAACCCTTAGAGGCAGAATTCACGATGAAAAGCAACCCACATTTAATAAGCTAAGAGTGGTGAGTGTGTAAAAAAGAAGGAAAACCATGAGAAACGGCCCAGAACCGAGAAATGGGACCCCTTCTTTGCCCGTTGATTCCAGCATTGATGCGACTTCCATCGTGCCCTCTTCAACGCTAATGCTCTCTCTGCTATCTAATCACTCGCCGCGTAAATAGCCTGCGGTGAGTGATTAGATAGTCGGAGGGGGGGGGGGGGGGTCCCCCCCCAAGGGCCGGAAAGCATGAGCCATGCTAGATCGCCGAGGTCAAATCTTTCACTGCTAATTGCGTGTCAGTCCACCAGTCTCCCCACTAGGCAATTTTCCCCTTCTTAGACCTTCGTTTTTATCGTGAAACACTTTTTTAAGTGAGCGTGTTTCAAAGTTCTTGTGCTTATCGCCAGAGATATTCTTAGCCTCATCCTGATCCTTATCGTTATATCGTTAAGCCGAAGGGCAGAATGAAATATACCCCTCCAACTCCATCTTCACCAGGAAATGTTGTTGTCTATTTCACTTTGAAAAACTTAGCTTCAAATCATTCAACATTTGTTGCTCCGTTTTGGTGTTCTGCCACTTTCTCATACAGCATACATTCATGCCCCTGCGCACTCGGAGTGACCGCCAGATGATTGAGGTGATGTTCATATGTTCTCGACATTCAAATGTTACTCTTCTCACACTGAATATTCATTTACCAAATAGTTCAAAGTCCGATCGTTGTGAACCAGTCACCGCCACCACTACCATTTAGAATTTTTCTTGCCGTTGATTTGCTTCATTTTGTTATGTTTTCGTCCCGAAGTCATTTCGGATTTGCATCCTTGTTTTCTCCGCTATCCTTTTTGTTTCCTTTTTTGTACTTGTAACCTCATTACACTCCGACTTGCCTTTGTGCCTTATTACAGAAAGCCTTTACTTGCTGTGCCTATCCACGTCGTATTATAGGTGCCACCGCATATTCTTGTTATTTGACCCTTTTATGCGTGTTATCCTCCATGCCAATTCACCCCATCCTCTTAATACCAGTATTCGAATAGCTGTCATAAGAGAGATCTGTCATCAGTCGTACCTCGTCCTCAGAAAGCTCATAATTCGTGCCTGACTAGTCAGAAATATGCGTCACGTCTATCTAGCCAACCTTGGCTTTACACATTGATCATCACTATATTTCCCGGTTCATTGTTATGTTACCAGTTGACGTAATTATTTTTTTTACCAATCATGTGTTTGCATTTTCTGTTTTCCATATGAAATCTTTTTATACCAAATAATTTTGACTCTTTTAAATACACACGTGAGAAAGTAGTTCTCAAACCGAACAACAATAACACATTCCCTGTTACAGAGGGACCAGCGTTTTCCAAGTTCTGTACAGCACAGCTACAAGAGACGTGTAAATACATGTACAGCTAGTAAGCTCTACTAATGGTAAGCTGTGGATGTTATATAAGAGAAAAATGGGGAGGGGGAGGTGGGCAATCGCATTATAATACAAACATACTATAATATTCAAATCGATCTAAGCATTTCCCGCAGGGAGACCACACATGGAGCAGTCTGGACGCTGTTCCGTATTTTCGAATGTGCAGTGCTTACAAGACCACGTTGACGTCACAGCTGACTCATTACCTAAAAATGGTTTAAAAAAAGTTGTTCTATGGTCGTTCTGGTTCATGTACATCAAGTGGAATAAATAGATTTCATCAGATTATAACATGGTTTGCAAATAAACATGAATCCGGGTTTCTTCTAGCAAAAGGTCAAGTATAACAGCGCCAGGTTATACAAAGCTGGTTTTTCTGGATGCAGTTACCTGCATCCAGAAAAACCAGCTTTGAATAACTCGAATTAAGATTAGTTAAAATCGAATTAAGAAAATTTTAAGGCACGTGATATCGTCTTTTCATTAAGAATTTCGCAAAGCTGCGCCACATCGTCCACCTCGTTGT